GAGGAAGCTTTGTTAGGGAGGGCAGCATGGGCAGGTGTGCAGTTGTGATTGGCAAAGTTGACTCCAGCAATGCCTCTGAGGTCTTCCTTCCACGATGTGCACCTCTAAGTGTATGTCTATGGCTAGGGATGAAAAATATCAGTGTGTAAAGCCAGGGTAGAGGGGTGTAAGTGACATAGTGGTTTTGGAATAAAGAGCAGACCTCAAGTGAAAACTTCCCAGTTTAGATAATTCCTTGGTGGGTCAGGAGGCTGCTCACTGCTATTCCTGCTCTTAGGCATTGCTATACTGCAGTAGCCCCAACACTATGGATCCTTAACATCTTCCTGGCTGAGTTATAGACATTCATTTTCTGGATGTTCATGGACTTGGATGTTATGGAACAAGTCCCAGTGGTCCTGTTCAGTGGTGTGAGAGATACCAGCTGTATTCCTGGCCACGCCAAGGAAAGGGAAGAGAGCATGGATGAAGCAGGTTGCTACTTCTATCTTTAGACTCTGAGATGTTTTGGATGTAATGTGGGCTTATGTCTAAGTGTGTTAAACAGAAGCTGAATTCCATTTGGTAGGAATCGAAAAATGTATCCTGAAATATTAAGTCTGGTATCTGTCAAACTTGTGCAACCACTAAGAACTGATTTGGCTCTGCCTGTAAAAGATAAGGAGCTGTGGAAAAACAGAGGTGTTTGAAAGCACATTCTAGAGCAATGTGACTGAGAGGAAGTCACTTCTGAAAACAGGCAGAGATGACCACAGGAATCATTTCCTTAGGAATCCTGTGATGAGGAGTGAAACTGTTTTCTGAGAAAATCTGGCACAGAAGGGAGTCATTCCTGGCATGGATGTCCTACTCAGCTGCTCAGATGGGCAAATTGTTCTTAAACTTTGTCTTTCCCCTTCTGGTTTCAGCAGGATGAGAAGAGCTTGCTAAAGAGAAATGCAGTTAACTGGTTTTTGGCAAACCTTGTTAGAGGGGAGAACTTTTTCAAGACTGAATAATGGATATAATAATTTTTTTAACTGTTTGCTTCTTTTACAATCCTTTAGGATCTTCCACTGATGAGAAGCCTATTGACCCCTATTGGTGCTACCAGCCATCTGTCCCTGCTGTATGATCCCACATTCCTTCAGGAGGTGGGTGACTAGTATCTGCAACCAAGTAGGTTGCCAGTGGAGCTCTCAGGAAGCATCAAGTGCATATCTGTGCAAACACCAGGAGTGTGAGCAAGGAGGTCAATGCTAAAAGCTTGTTTGGGTGAAGGTACTAACCAAGTGAAGACTTTGCAGCTGTTATCTTGCAGGACAGAGTTACAGCAACATTTTGGTGCCAGTCGACTGATGGTGATGCTCCTGAGTCATGTGGCTAATTAGTTCAGAAATAAAGGAGCTCCTAGTCCAGCTCCTTCACTGGGTCTTCCTTACTCAAGTCTAACTATTTGGCCTCATAAGAATGACTAAATCAGGCTTTCTTTGCAGTTTAATTTTCTCCTCTTTAATGCCAGTCAGAGAGAAATAGGGGAGCAACAGGATTAGGGAAGACTGCATGTGGCAGAGGTGATAGAAAAGTGTCTTTGTCCTCCACTCTGGACTTCTGTCTCAAGTTTTCACTTTTTACAGCATTAATTTGCACTCTGCTGCCTGATTTCACAGTGCTGTCTCCCTCCTGGAGTGCCTGTGGGTGTCATTCTGTGGGCAAACCAGGTGGGAGAGCTGTTCTTTCTCCTCTGTCCCAGATTTACCAAGTTCGCAGTCTTGCGCATCCAGCTCATGCCGGGAGAGATGCTCCACAATGCCAGCCCCGAGAGAATCCCCCAGGACATTGGTAGTTGTTCTAAGGCGGTCCCTGAAAAATCAAAGAGAAAAACGAAATACAGTTTAAGAGTAGCAGCTAAGGGGATGAAGATTATTTTAAGAAACATCTTCAGTGAAACTTTTTCTACTTTCTAAGTCATTCTAATAATGGATACTTCAACGCTGACAGGAAAATGACTCCCAGAGAGCCTTCCTTGATTGACATCCTTGAGCTCAAGCTTCACATTCATTCCTGTTTTATTGCACTTCCAGTTTCTTACTGAAAAGTTTTGGACTTGACACCAATGAAGAGGAAGGCTGCTTTGTTTCTATATGGACACTGTCCTTTCCAAAGGCCTTGCTGCAGATGTCCTCACCACATCCGTTTCACTTAAGTTGCATTTTGTTTTACAGAAAGTGCTGAAATTCTGGTGTAAACCTATGACAGCACTGCTGTGGACACAGATTTCCTCAGTATGGACAGCATGCACTAAGACAAGGCACAAGATTCTTTGTGCAAAATAGCACATCTAAAAGATGCTTTGCAATGAGATATTCTTTACAACCACAACAGTATGTCAGAGCCACGGAAGCTGCCACCAGTCCAGCGCCCCATCAGATCCTTCAGTGGTAACAGTGGCACCTGATTGAAATAATCTACTCTGAGTAAGCACAAGAAGTAACCTGACTTATTAGGAGCTTTTCCCAACAAAGTCTGTTCTTATGCACAATCCACAGGAGAAGTGAAGGTGTTCTGCAAATCTGTTTCCAACTGGTCAGCCATGGCTGGGAGCAGATTTTGGCTGTTATGGCTACAAACCAACAATACAAGATACAGAAGAACAGAGGAAATACTGACAGTGTATCCATCTATCAGGATTTTGCTGTTTGAGAAGACAGAGAGGTGGCACTGTGCACAAATGCATTCTTCAATCTGGTTCCTAAGAGCACTCCTATAAAATCACTTGTCCCAAGTGATTTTATTTAAAAGGGAAAGTGTGGCTAACTGCACCCATGTAAACACTCTTCAACTTTGTACAGCTCAATCTCATTCCTCTTTTAGTGTTTGGTAACCCAGAACTCTTTATCATTCTTTAATCTTTAATTTAATCATTCTTTAGTGTGGATTTGCTTCTTATTGGCACAACCTTTTCCTATTATCTGCAGATAATTTCTGTGCGCATTTTAAATAAAGCAAATGGAGGACATTCTGTTTGGTCACCAGGCTGATCAGCAAGTGACGTCTGATGCCTTGAGTCACTGAAGCACACGGCGAAGACTCCTGCATGGGCAGAGAGGGCTGCTGTGAAAAGGTCTCAGGAATACAGGCGTGCTTTAAGCTTCACTGTACAGCTTAGTGAGCCTGCTTTTAGCAAAGACATCAGAAATATAGATAAGGTCTGTAAGCACTGGCAGGAATGCACAGCAGTACATGCCTGCTGAGCAGGGAACTTACAGAAACCAGTCCACAGCGATGATCAGTGTAATGTCTTCAGTAGGCAGCCCCACTGATGTCAGCACTATAACCATTGTCACCAGTCCTGCCTGGGGAATACCTGCGGCTCCAATGCTGGCTGCTGTGGCAGTGATGCTGGAGGAAACAGGAAAGCAGAGCTATCAGCAAAGGGAAGAAAAGAGTTGGTCGCATTTGCATAAATGTCAGGAAGCAGTTCAAACTCATCATTGTTTTGGCAGCCTTTCTGCCCTGATCACCAAGAGGGATGGTGACACATGAGACATCAAGACAATGCCAGGCTGCCCCTGCCAGACACCCCCTCATAACAGACTGCACACCACAGCTTTTCCTAAGACCTGGACATGCAAGAAAAGCTCAAGTGGAGCCTCAAATACATGGTGTCCACATGTGCTTTGACCCCTGGAGCTGTAGTACAAGCCTTCTTTCCCATACTTTTTTCCATATTGTCTCTTCTGAGCAAAAGAGGAACGTGATCACACCTCAGATAAAACAACAAAACTGAAACCTTTTCTGTAGTCTCAAAACTCTTTCAAAAGTCACCTTATTGTGATGATTTGCCCAAAGTCAAGTTCATAGTTGTTGACTTGTGCAATGAAGATGGCTGCAAGGGCCTCATACAGAGCAGTGCCGTCCATGTTAATTGTGGCTCCCACAGGCAGCACAAACCTCGTGATGCGCCTGTCCACACCATTGTTTTCTTCCAGGCACCTGAAGGTTATGGGCAGAGTTGCTGAGCTGAAAGGAATTTACAAAACCACATGAATTGCCTGTATGCTGACTTTGGAAGAAGGACTAAGCCTCTGCCTGGTTTTTGACCTTACCCACCTGCTTTTTCACCCTGCCATGCGAGCCAGAGGCCAGAAGCTGCTAGGAGAAAGAACAGTCTAAGCAAAGCTTCCTCAGATATGATGCACACTGCAGTTGCACATTCTGACATGTCTTTTCTCAGGGGGTTGGGACAGTGGTTATATAACCCTGAGGCTGATGATGCTGGTATAGCCCCAAAAGAAGGAGGATTCAGGGTAATAGGGCAGAGCCTCAAGACCAGAATTCCTTTTTCTGCTGTTAAAAAAACTTGAGCCCTTCCTCATCCCTCTCAGTCCATAAGACAAGAATCACATATGTTTGAGAATATATCTTGCAGGGAAAGCAAAGAACTGTTTCTGAGAGAGAATGTGAGCATGAAAAATGTTATGTGTTATGGTATGAGAATGTATGTAGAAGAGCCTGCTATGTGCTTGCCAGGACATGAATATAACAAGAAACATAGCACTTAGTGAGACAACAGTTACCTACCATCCCTTGCTTTGGCTGTGTGACATGGCAGTCTGAGTCATTGAACATACTTGTGTTGATGCCTTTGCCCAGGTCTCTGGGAAGTTTAATGACAGCTGCATACAGTCTGTGTGCCTGGGAGAGACGGATGTGAAAATGTGTGCAAGTACATGTGTGAGAGGTATGTGCATGTGGAATAATGCTGTGATTCAGCAGGATATTTGTCCTGAGTTCAACATTTCAGTGGTAAGCAAAGTCAACCTCATGTTCTGTCAGGAGGTATATGGGCCATTCAGTGATGGTCAGAGCTAGTCATGTGAGTAGGGCTCCTGAGCAGGACAGAGGGAACCTTTCCACTCCTAAATGAGTTTGTCTGGTTCACTGCAGAAAGCCGCTAGCGCTAGAAATTGTGAGACCACAGTGCTGCATCGAGAGCAATGGAGCGCTAAGTTGTAGTATCTCTGTCAGCCCAAACCCCACTCATACATAGCCATCATACCTGGAGGAGGTGCCCAGGGCTGTGATGAGAGCCTGCAGGAGCCCTGCAATGAACACCCAGGGGTTTCGGTGAGTGACAATGAAGTAGAGCAGGGGCAAGATGCAAAGGGCATGAATGAGGAGTCCAACGATAACAGTGAGCGTGTACATCCCCAGCTGGCCTCCCATCACTGCCAGGTCATCCATCTCCAGGATTTTGCCCGCAATTAAAAACATGATCCCAACGGGAGCATACCTGTGACAGAAACACAAGGCTGATGGTCAGGACTGGCTCCCACACTTTCACACCAGCTTTAAGACATGCTGTCTGTGTTAAATAAGTCAGCATACCATAAGTGCTCACTGCGTCTAATCACTGGATTATACTACTGGTTTCTTTTCTAGAAACCTGGAGAGAGCTGGGATTTGTTCATCCCATGGCCAAAAATCAGCTCTTGGTGCATGCCTGGGGACCTGAGCACTGTGTGTTTTGCACACAGCATGGGCAGTGGTGGTTTCCTCCTCGTTTTGGGTTTTCTACATTTCTACAACACTCTTTGTAGAATTGATAAGGAAGGTTATGTAGAGAAACCTTCAGAGTTCCTTCCTTTCCCAATAGAGCTTGGGCTGACAGTATTTTTTTTTCTCCTGAGAGGCACAGGAAAGTACAGGAGAAACAGGGAATCGGGGAGTAAAAGCAAGAGTGTCCTATAGGCTCTGGGATATCACCCTTGCTGTCTTCAGATGCTCACATTTAGGGAATATGAATATCTAGGGATTCCAGATATGGCGAAACAAGCACTGGGCACATCAACACCTGTAAAAGCAGCCATGGCTCATATAAAACCCCATTTTGAGGTACCTATCTTTTCCATTTCTCGTGCCTTTTCCCTCCCCTCCATAACAATGCAGCTGACAAGCAGCAGTGAGGCTCCACAGAAAAGAAGATGTAAGTCAGATATGGAGAGAATCATGGGTACTAATATAATAATTGGACCAAAGAAAATTCCAGCTCTGTGGCCACACCTCTAAGGGCTTGGCCTCTGCAGCTCAAGAGCTCACATGCAACTCATGCACAAGGCTCAGAGATCTACATGCCAAACTCCAGCTTAGCCTGGGAGGTTTGGAAAAGTTTCAGGAAAGGATTTAATAAATATTTCATTTCCTCTGACCTTCCTGTTAGAACACATCCTTGGCTGTAGCCAGTGACCAGATCTCCCCGGGAAAAACACGCTCCTGGAGGATGATCTGCAGTCTGTGGCTACAGGAAGGCATGCACAGGCAGTGTCCAAGTGTAACCAATGTTCTATACATAAACACCCTGCCTTCCTTCATCTAAAGGGAGGTTTAAGGAGGGGTGTTGAAGGTCTCTGTAGTAGTATGCAGGTCTACTTGTTGCACTGTGCTCATGCTACTGCTTCTGTGCCCTCAGGCAAGTCTTACCTTTTCTTAGGAAAGCAAAGCCCCAAGTTCTGGTTCAGACATGGAGTAAAACATCCCGGGGGATTGGGGCATCCCAACATCTGCTATTGGCTCAGGGATATTCTTCCCCTTTGTGCCTTTTTCTGTAAGGCCTGTCCTGCTGTGCTCAGGATTTTGCTCTGAGATACAAGACGGTGACTTAAAAGACCAAGGAAAAGAAGCTGGGGGATCTAAAATGGGAGAGGGTGTCAGGCTGACAGATTTCTTCCCTGTCAGACATTTGAATGTATTCTGCCAGACCCGCATCTATCCTCTTTTGCAGTACCTGACAAAACTTTGAGCCTTAACAGGGTAAAAAGCTTAAATCACAGTATTTTGTAAAATGCTGCCTTCTAGAGTAGACTTGTCTCAGCCTTGTTTGTCTGGACCATGTGTCATAGGTAGCCTTGCACAGAAAGCAATGAGTAGCTGAGCTCCAGAGAAGTCATGATCTGGGAAACCTCAAACTGAGAGGCAGTAACTTTGAGCTGATCCTCAACCCAGCTCAGCTCTCAGAGCTACTGCATTACTGCAAACAGCTGCCACACTGAAAGCAGGAAAGGGGCAAAGGGTAACTGTGATTCATAGCTAAGTCAGACTCCTGGAACACAGCTGGAAGGAAAGCCTTTGGTGAGAAAGCCTCACACCCTACTCCTGTTGGTAAGGCTAAGAGATCTTCCACTCCAGCTCTCTGGTCTTCCAAGGATGTTTCCAGAAGCCTCAAGAAAAGCAAGTCCTGGTGTACCTGATATTTCTAAGGTAAAAACAAAAAGAACAGGAAATGAAATGTGAACAAATATCCCATCCAGACTTTTCCCTCCAGCTTGATGGAGCCAAAATAGAGCTGTGCCCGTCTGCTTTTCCTGTCTTGTGCATGAAATCCTTAAAGCTACCCCACTTCTCATCATGTCAATGGAAACTGCACCTGCAGACCTCCTGCTCCAACCGGCCGTGCTCCTCACCAGATGATAATGGCCACCAGCCTCATGATGGCTTCGTTGAGGCAGTTAAAGAACTCCCGCAGGGCCCGTCCCTTCTGCTTCATGCTGCCGATCATCAAACCGAAGCACATGGAGAACACTACCAGTCCCAGCGCATTCACCCCATTGGCTGAACCTGGGATGGGAATGATTTCTTCAAAGGTCAGCACCTCGGAGATGGTTCCCAGGGCATGAGTGACATTCTCCATAATACTGGTGAAATTCTCAGGTACAGGGATCTGAGTGGTTGTCACACCTGCTGTGACATTGCTGCTGTGGATGATGGTTCTGGTGAAGACTCTGGTGCTGTACTGAGTCTTGTACTGAAAAGACACAGATTATCAAATGCACTCACAGGCCCTAGTTCAGATGATCAGAACACATGCTAGGCTCTTACATCCCTTCTTAAATAAGGAGAGTACTGCAAGTTGCTGCTGACCAGTGTGGGAAACTTGCTTTGCCTGTTCTCAAGGTCCCCAGTGTAGTGCTTTCACCAGAAAGTTCAGAGAGTTCATAGAGCAGAACATCAAAAGAGACCATTAGAGGATCTCATATCACGAGGACTGAGATATTCTGGCTTCTCTGATAACCCTTTGTGCGGCTATGAAGGGCATTAGCACTGCAAAAGAGACAGATTCTTGAAGAATCTATTCCATATCACTGCCAGTTCAAGCCTGCTACCTGAGATCATGCAAACCCTTCCTGCCTCTCTGGGATGGGATGGAGGTTGAAGCCCCCATGTACAGACAGTTTGAAAAGTTTGCATGGGGGATGCTATAATACAGACTAAAATCTGCAATGCCTCCTGCAGCAGTCAGACCTGGGGAATAAAGTGCTATTCCATCCCTAGAGAAGTAGATAGGACCATGGTCCAGGGCACAAGGCACAAAGATGAGATTTCATACCTGTTTGAAGCAAGCTTCTACCAGGTTGGGCGGGAACATATTCCTGCAGTAGATAAAACAAGGAAAGCATTATTGTTTTATTGAAATAGGAGGAAAACATGGACTTCCTGGCCAACTTCTTTGTCCTGGAGCAGTGTCTGAGGTCACAACTCTCACAATGTCCACTTAAGCCCTTTCAGTCTGACTGACAGAAGAAGAGAATATGCTGATCTGGACCCAGCACCTCTTGCAACTTGTCAGACTTCCACTGCATGTTTTCAGACTCCAGAAGGTTATTCAAGTATGTGGAAAGAGATGCCCTGGGATAAAGGTATGTTGTAAAACCATCATCAAACAACTGAACCTTGAAACAATACCATACTACAATGTTTAATACTTGCTTTAATACCTTGCTCTCAGCCTCATCTCTACTGCTGTCATGTGAGCTTTCTATTCTGTACCTCAAAAATATGGCATTATGCCACTTGAGATGGTACAGCCTTGCAATTCACTGAGTAAGGTCACAGTAAGGGAAGAAAAGGCAATGTCTTGGGAACCATTTCCTTGATTTCTTTTGGTCATTTAAGATGAATATTTTGGAGTAGCTTTTGCCGTATGAATTTCTGAAAGGCAGGTAGCCACTGATTGTTTTCATTACTTGTTTTGTTGAGCACACCATGACCTCTTACATTAATACCTCTGGAGAAGGAGTGAATTCCAAGCCAAGCACTCAGTCTTGGAGTGGCAAAGCCAGTTAGCTAGACTAAGCTAGAAGTAGTAGGCTTGCCAAGACTCAGCCATTAACCTTTTTCCTGAAGAATGTATGCCTAAAGCTGTGATATTTCAAAAGGACACTCCATGGAGGAATGTAATCTCACTGATATAGTCTCAACATGAGACCATTTTGTTTACCTACCTCACCAAGTCCATGAAGGCATCTGTGGTCTGCACCTGCTCAATTCTGCCTTCTCGGTGAAGTTTGTCCTTAGATCCTTTTCCTGGGTGTATGATGATCACCATGAAGATGCCGATGAAGACAGCTATGATTGTGGTCACCATGTAGTAGATGATAGCCCGCATCCCCATCTTCCCTGAGACTCTGCTATCCAGTGAAGCCATTCCTGGGGTGTTACACAGAGAGACAAGGTGAGGAAGCCTATCATCTTAGAGAGAAAGGGAAAGGTTGAGGAAGATTCAAAAGGTGCAAGGCACCTGCATGAGCTGGATAGGGAGCTAGGGTCTCTAGGAAGCCCAGCCTACAAGGAACAGAATTTGGAGTTCAGGGTGATGATGTTATGGAAAAATATGGCATGTGGTCATGAAGAAGCATAGTACTGGTAGATCTTAGTCTGCATTTGGGAATGTAGCAATTTTCTTTTAAAGCCCTCAGAAGGGAAATAATCCCCTCCTAGTACATTGGGCCTTTCAGTCCCTAATGGTGGAATGTTTCAGCAAGTGGAACACCTTGCAGTCCCTTCTACTGTCTGAAAGCTTGGCTGTCTGTCATGTCTTCTTTGAGGATCTGGGTGAGACAAGTCCTCCAGCTGGTGATCAACTTCAACCCTTTTGGACTGACACAAATTAGCCTCCTCTAGGCTGGAGGAAACCTGAAGTTGACTTGGGCAACAAACTTGGAGACATTTGAAGTTACGTAGGATTAAATCCTGGTTAGTGCTCAAGTGCTGGGCATTGGAACCACTGCATTGTGTTCTCCTCAGTCTTCTAAGAAAGCACAAGTCTTCTGCTTCTCTGCACCACTACTGAGCCAGCAGAGGTTTCAGTGTGGATCGTGTTCACCGTGTCTGTAGATTCATGCTTGTTACTATTAGCCAAGCTAATTCAAGCACCTCCAGTTGGTCACCCAAACAGCTTTGCTGGCCATTGTCTTGGCTGAAAGCAGCAAAAAGCACTTCTTACCTGTAATCAAGCTAGAGACAATGAGAGGAAGAACCAGCATCTGAAGCATACGCATCAGCAGCTCGCCAGGGAAGGAGAAATACTTGATCTGGCGATAGGTCAGCTGGTAGGGCCGGAGGGAGAAGGCCAGGATAATCCCTGTGGATCAGCAAGGGATGAGAATGGAAGTGGGACAGTGTGATCCAGTGGTTTGTCACTCACTCCTACAATGTGGAATTTATCTTTCTCACCTATTCTCAGTTCCTCCTCTTCCCATAGGAACAAATACTCATTTTCTAAAAGGCTGTGATCCAGTTTTTATGATATGCTCTCTCTCCCTCAGATATATTTATGTGCAGAAGAGCCTTGTGTGAAACCACAGGTCTCTTTGTTCCTTGTTTGTTCTGCTCTTCTAGAGTCTGTTCCCAGGAGGCTCATGAATACAAAATGCTGTGATGAGAGATATGATCTCCCAGACTACAATAAGTGTGACTACACAGTTCAGATTCTTTGTCTACCCATCTCTTAAAGCTGAGTTCAGCCAGTTAGAGACATATAGCCTGGATCAAAAGCTAGGGACAACCTGCTATCTGCTAAGCAGATTTGGTGTGCATTGCATCACGGCCATTTGCAAGCAGTTCTTGTCCCAAAGCTGTGGGACAAATCTGAAAAGCCCTTGTGCATTCAGCTGCACTCACAAGGTACCTCTGAAGAAACTTAGATGATTTGTATAAGGATTGGTTGAGTACGACCATCAAACTCTTTCTATTGTAGACTGTTTCTATACTGCAGCTAGAAAGGATCAACAAGGACTCCCTCCCACATACACACTGACTGTTGGGTCTCTTGATCTTGCACACATGATGTGGACACCACCTTGAGCTGTCAGCTCATCAGCTTCACCTCCTCAGTCAAACTGCCATGATAAAATAAAATCTTTGTAAAATAAACATTTCTCCATATTTATAAATGGTGCCTGGTGTTGCCACCATCTCCATACCTAGTAGGACCGCAGCAATGGTGAAGAGGACAAAGGCATTTCTCCTGAAGAAGCTTTTAGCACTTTCAGCAGTGATGCTGTGCATCCGCTTCTTGGCCCGTGCCGCCCGCTTCTGCACAGCCTGACGGAACCGCTGCACCCGGCTGTCAGCGTGGAGCCTCTTGGCTGCATCCTCGTTGAGGAACAGGCTGTTGACGTGGCTCTGCTCGCTCATGGTCAGGACAGCTGCTTAGTCCTCCAGGCACAGCTCTGCCTATGCTGGGCAGGGAGAAGTACAGGCAGGAAAGCATAAGATGTGGCACATCTTGCCTTCATCTTTAGGTCATTTCCCTGGGGCCTGCTTACAAAGGTTTATTCAAAGGTGATTAATGAGTTCCTCTGACCACTTTCAAGGAGCAGACCTTGGGGAAGGGTATCTAAAGGTCTGCCAGGTGCTTGTCACTACTGCTTTGGTGCCTCGAGAGAAGCTCTGGCCTCTATAGCACCCAGCCTGCACTGAGGAGTGGCTTATGTTGGCCTGGGCAGCCAGAGAGGGCTCTATAGCCACCCAGGCTTATTCTTAGGAGTTTGATCACTTTGGAATGGAATTTATTTTTATCACCTGGCAACAAACCCCTTTTCCATACACAGACTCTTCCAAACAAAACCAAGCAGCAAACAACTTTTCTGATGCACCTCCAAGGTGGACAGGCCCATACCACAACAACTTTCTCCATCACAGTGAGTGGTGCTGGCTGTTTCTGTTTCTGCCTTCCATGGAGCCTGAGGATAATTCTTTATTTACTGACTTTCCTTTGAAACACAACAGTAGTATCAAGTAGTATCTCTTGTCAAACTCTACTAATGGGATTAACCTGATGTTCTGTCTTCATAAATACTAAGACTGAAATCAAACCTACTCCAAAGAGATAAATAAAGAACCAATTCTGCTCCATTACCAATTAGCTGCAAGGCCTGGACAGTCTACTGTACTTTATCTGTTTCGTTTTTACTGTTATTTCCATATTCCTCAGAACAAAAGAACAAGGAGGCTACACAGGCAAATCAGTCCCTTCTAGAGTTAGAAGGCACCAGCCACCCACCAGTTACATAATGAGGAAGATTATTGCCTTACTATGCAGGTGTCATTTTCCTTCTGTCACTGTGCCTTGACAGAGGGAAGGTCTGAAAATTATTCTTGTTCCCAGGAGTTTGCAAACCTAAATTAAGCCAAAGAAGAACAAAGTCACCTTAGCACATCAGCAAGTGCTGGAAGACCTTCTTTGGTGTTCCAAGTCAAATAAGAGCTAGTCCATTTGTAATCCTAAATTTAAATCAAAGAAACCCTCACAAATGAAACTATATTCTCTGTAAATTACACACCTAGTATCTTCCATTTGGACCCAGATAAATGCCTATCATGAACTGAAGACATTGCCTTAAAGAGGAACTGTTTCGTGTTACAAGAATGCAAGGTTATGTGCACAGTAGGTGGAGAAAAACCTCCATTCTGAGAGAAGGTTTGTTTGCATAGATGCTAATGCCTTCATGAGGTTCAGAACAGCAGACGCAACTGAGGTGGCCCAGCCAAGTCACTCTAAGCCCCCCCAAGGCTAAGCTACGCAAAGGCCACTGGCAAAGATGATGGGTATTTGCTGCAGGAACCTTGCAGTGCTGCTGTGGTCATCCCAGCTTTCAGATCAGCAAACAGCAGTCCATGGATTTTGAGCCAGTCATTCCAGCTTGATCAAGCAGTCCATTCCTTACTTTACCACCCCACTTTTATCTGTTGACAGAGACAATACACACCAGACGTAGTGAAGTGAAAGACAAAGTGAAAACTTTGCCTGTTTTCCTTCTTTTCACTGCCAGTCCTGCTTTTCACAACTATACATGAGAAAAAGGAACTACAAGATTCTTCAAGTTTATTGAGATTGTGCCTTCTGAACCTGGCAGTAGGTTTAGAAACTATGAATTCAATCCCCTTGTGTTCCACAATAAACTTGTATCATTTATAGCCTTCCAGATCCAGAGTTGAACAAATTACCTGGAACAGGTAACACAGGAACACACCCTGGTGGGTTTGAATGTTTCCAGAGGGAGACTACATGACCTGTCTGGGCAACTGTTCCAGTCGTCTGCCACCCTCAATGTGACGAAGTGCTACCTCATGCTGAGGTGGAACAGTTTGTGGTTTAGTTTCAGGCCATTACTCCTTGCCTTGTTGCTTGGGCATTCAAATGCTTCCTAACGTCCAGTCTGATTGTCCCCTGGAATGACTTTGGGCCATTCCTAGTTGTGCTGCCTGTGGATCTCAGAGAAAATAGTCCAGTGCCTCCCTCTCCACATTCCCTCTTGAGTAAGTTGCAGAAAGCAGTGCTTCCCAACCTTCATTTCTCTGAAGGAGAAAAACCCAGAGCATTCAGCTGCTCCTTGTAGAACATGCCTTCCAGCTCTTCAGAAGAAAGTTCACCCTCCATTCCCCTCCTCTGGACATGTTTGAGGACCTTCACATCCTTTTTTAATGTTGGGGCCCAGCCCTGCACACAGTGCTCCATGTGAGGCTGCAGCAATGATCACTACTATGGGATAATCCCCTCTCTGGACCTGATGGTCATGCTATGTGTCATGTCTTCAGCATGCAATTTGCCCTCTCAGCTGCCTGGGCACACTGTTCACTTCTCTTGGGCCTGTGGCCAATCCACACCCCCAGGTCCCTCTCTGCTCTTCAGCCACTCCTCTCCCAGTTTAGACTTGTACTCAGTGTTACTCCCTCCCAGCTGCAGAAAATAGCACTTGGACCACTTCTATTTCATGACTGAGATAGCCCAATGTTCCAATTCACCAAAATTCTCCTTTGAGGCCTCTTGTTCCTCAGGGAAATCAACGACACCTCCCAGTTTGATATTGCTAGCAAGCTTGCTAATGGGATATTCAATTCCTGCATCTGGATCATGGATCAAAATGCTGAACAGTACTGGCCCCTGTGTTAAGCCCCAAGGACACTACCTGTGACCACTTACCAGCCAGACACAGCCCCATTCACTACAACCATTCAAGTCCTTCGATCCATCTGGCTCTTCACACACCACAACTCGCCCCTCCCACAGCTGGACAACTGTCAAGAAGGATGCTTTGAGAGGCAGTTCAAAAGCCTCACTAAAAGTCAGGAAAACTGCATGTATCACCTTCCCTTCATCAACTTGGGGTGTGACCTCATCCTAGAAAGAAATCAAACTGGTTAAAGAGGACTTTTCCTCTGTGAACCCATGTTGAAGATTGCATTATTCTTCAAATGCATTTCAGGAGTATTCAGTAGGACCTTCTCTATAATTTTTCTAGAAATTGAGGTTAGACTCACAGGTCTTTGTGTAGTTCTTTGTGTCTTCCCTCATATTAGAACAATATTGGCTCGCTTCCCAATCATCAGGGAAGCCATGTGGCTGCCTACAGTAGAACAGATTGCTGCCCAAGGCAATCACTTCTAAAAGAAAAACCACCATAAAAACTTTCACACCCCAGGTACTCTTTTTCTTACTCCCAAACCACTCTTCATCAAATGACTCAGCACACATTGGTAATGTGAAGTGCTGGCTTATTTTGATGTGGAAAGCTCCAAGCAGTTTAATGATGTCAAAAGTCACATTGATGGCTCTAAAATCACCCACCACAGACTATTTACACACGAACCAAAGAGGCGGGAATTTGATTTCAGACGGGCAGGGTTAAAGTGAGAGGCGTGGCTTTAAGTCCCGGGAAGAGTGGATTCCACCCCTCTGCCTTGGGGGATGTGCCCTATAAACCCGGGAAGAGTTGCTCCACCCCCAAATCCCTCATGGGGTGTCAGCCCAAGGTGTTCTGCCCTTCTGGTGTTGCTATTCATTGTATTCTGCTGCATTAACCCTCCTATTGTACCCTTATTGGTTTGTACCCCATGGTCTTCTCCCTTGCTTTGTCCCTGTTAGACCCAGACCCTAAACTCCACCTTTGCTCTACCCCATAAAACCCACCACCCTGCCTCTGTTCAGGGCTCTCCATCTCTGGTTTCTGCTGGGTTAATTCCTGTGTTGGTGACACCCCAATAAATGGATTCCCGAGTCTAACCACATGGAGACCCATCTTGTTGATTTCCCACATCAGTCACCAGTGGCTGAACCCTCCCTGGACATGATGCTGTTGCAACATGTGATGCAACACCCAAGGAGATTTCCTACATGGGGGGAGGTGTGCAATAGAGCTTAAGGACTTAGAAAGAGCTAGAAAACAGGGAATCTTTGAATCAACTGCAGTGCATCTCTTTCAGCCTGTACTGGACATTGAAGAACATCTGTCATCTTTATCTTTTGTCTCTGTTAAAGCAGCCAACATCAGAAAAGCCAACATCAGAAAATCATCCAGTGTGCAGCATCTTCCTGTGAGCATGTTTTAGAGACAGAGAGTATTAAAATTCTAGTTGAAAGGAGATAGGAGATAGCCATGGCACACTCAGAGTGCTGGAGGGCCAGATGTGGGAGCATCAGGACAGGTTTGCATCCCCTTTTCACAAATTGTGTCATTTTGGTCCCATGAAGTTCCACACTTTTACACTTAGAGTAAAATATTGTACAAAGCAGAGAAGCTTCTTGAAATAGTATCTTGAATGCAATCTTTCACTACAGGCTCCATAAAGACACACAGCCTCCCACATTTTGGCCATGCCCCTCTCCCAGAGAAAAGACCAGCATCCCACATTTTGGCCATGCCCCTCTCCCAGAGAAAAGACCAGCATGTTTAAATGGAGAACTAGGGAGAGCAGAAATAAAAAGCAATCTTCAAATGTATCTAGTTGAAGGAAAACCCACATCAGTAAGGATATCAGTGTCAGATCATTCAGGGTTTAAAAAAACTTTTGTCAAGGATCATGTATGAAAGGTTTTTAAAGCAATGGATACGAAAGGGAATGAAAGGGGAGATCCCTGTTTCATCATCACTTGTGGTGACAGGCTGCCAACAGAGATTTCAGTTGTGAGGTCTAAAAAGAAAGCGTGCGGAGGGCTGAGCTGTTCATCTACTCACGAGTGACAGGAAGAATGATCTGCTCTATGCAAAAATGAAAAGCAGTAAACACAGAAAGAAAAACTCTTAATTCCAGTGACTCATAAAGAAACAGGAAATACCACAAAAAAGTACAGACTGACAGAAGAAAGTACTAAGAATTATTTGGGAGACATTAGGGGACAAAGAAGAAAATATTCCATCCCTGAGAGGATGAGTGGCAGCTGGGACAGAGTTAATTTTCCTCCTAGTAGTTGATACAGTGCTGTGTTTGAAATTTAGGGTGAGAGCATGTAACAAGAGCAATCTTGGACTGTATAGTGATAAAGTGAATGAATCGCACTTGTGGGAATGATACAGTTTTCACATGGCAACATTAAATGCTTGAAACTGTTGAGATTTTTTTAGTATTCAGAAACCCATATACACATCTTAAATATTGCTACATTACAACAACAGAAACGAAAATGAAATTATTTGGGCAAATTTCAAGTTGCTTCAAGAAATTTTGCATTTAAGTCAGATTCTAGGAAAGCATCTATGAAAGTCTTCAATGACTTACTTTCTTTGTTGTGCAGGCTCAGCTTCAGAAAAAACACAGCCAAGTCTGACATCATCACTGAAATTTTCCTGCATTCAGTTATTCAAACATCAAGAGGCAGGCTGTAAGTATTTAAAAAATTTTCTTCATGTGCTGCCAAGTTTTGTACTGTCTGTATTAAGACAGTTTGCATCCATGGGAGCCCACAAGCAAGCTCCCCCTGAGCTGTGCATATTTCAGGCTATCAGCAGAGGTGAAGTGCACGCTTTCCTCAGAAATGCGCTGATCATGAATCCAGTCTGTCCACTGGGCAGGCAGGTCTTAAGTCTTTGTGTTCCATAGTGCTGAGGAGCCCTGCAGAGCCTGTGGGTGTGGTGCCTGTCACTGGACAGTGTTGGCATGATGCAGAGCCCAGTGCTGTGGCAGTAGGGCTGCATCTGAGGCAGGATCTGGGGGAGCTGAAGGAGATAGGTTGTATCTGCATATGTAGATCTACACAGCATATAGATCTGCAGAGAGAGCACAGCTCCACATGGAAAACATCTTCCAAGAGGTCAGGGCAGTGGTGCTGGTGATAGGAGGTCAGTTCTATGTAGCAGTGATACACTGAATTTCTGCCAGAGAGTATAAGACAGTTCTGCTGCCTGCAGAGAAGCTGTTTGACTGTTTGGAACTAAAGAGGACTATTCTCTGTTCCACGTGAGCTTCTTATGCCTTCATATCCCTTCGCAAAAAGAAGAGAAACTACATGTAGGGAAATAAATCTACTTCATGCCTGTGTGCAGCTCTGCCCTCATTCCAGTGACTTGCAACAACTCTGAGGTCACAGAGCAGCAAATGTTCTGAGCATGGGGGTGGGCTGCAGAGATCTCTGGCCTGCCTTTGTCCAGGCAATGGTCAGAAGAAGGCTGTGGTGGATGAAGAAATGTATCTGACTACTTCACATGGTCCAAATCAAACTCAACATCAAGCCCCTAATAACAGTTTCTTAGGGCCTGCATCTGGTACATCACCCCTGGGACCACAGAACTCCCAAGACATCCCAGGTGGGACTAGCACTAGAGTCCAGAAACTCTGCTGTGCTTATGCCTAAAGGTTGAGAGAGGTGATCCCTCCCCTGCAACTCAGCCCTGGTGAGTCCCGTGTCCAGGTCTGGGTTTCCCAGTATGGTCACAGGGAAGAGAGTCCACTGAAGTACTGCAGAGATGATGGTGGGACTGGGGCGTCTCCCATGAGGAAAGACTTGGAGATCTGGAACTGCTCAGCCTAGAGGAGAGAGTGCTTGGGGTAGGTCTTAACAATCTACAACTGCAGGGAGGGTGTGAAGAATTCAGTGCCAGACTCTTCTCAGTGTTGCACAGTGATCATGAGAGGTGGCAGACATGAATCGAAGTACCAGGAAATTCTTCTTAAGCATAAAGAGAGTCTTTGTCGCTGCGAGACAGACTGAACACTGGGGCAGATTGCCCAGAGGGGCTAGCAGGATGTTCTCCATTCTTGGAAATATTCAAAAGCTGTCTGTACAGAGTCCTGAGCAACGAACTGTGGCTGACTCTGCTTTGGGCAGAGGGATTGCACTAGATGATATTTAGGGATCCTTGCCACCCTCAGCAATGATGTGACCTTCCTTCTGCTGATGTGCTGCTGTGAGACAAAGCTTTATGGGACTTCAGACAGCACTAACACATCCTGTCCATGGCAGTGTCCTGGAGGTTATTTACATTTCTAATTAGCACAGGGACATGATTGGTTCTCCACTCTTCTCTGACCCTCTGACCCCTGCACAGCACTTCTGCACTGCATTGAAAGACAAACAAGAATATGCTGCTTCATTAAAAAGCCACCATTTGTGGCTGTTGGACAGATTTTGAGGTCCTAGGGGTGTCTCAGCAGAGGGGGAGCCATCAATCAAATGGATGCACTGTGAGATACTTCTCTGGAAAAAGGGAAAGTTCTGACCACTGGCAGGACATAGCATTACAGGGCACTCTTGCCATGGTGTGGGATTGTAGAAAGTAACAAAAATTTCAGATGAAGACTGTGTCTGCCTTCTTGCCCTGTGCTCTGTTCTCTCATGAGGTGGAGCACAGCAGTCATCCCATGCCTCCTTCCTCTTATATAACATGGTGGCACAGCTTTTTGATTGCTAATGTGTCCAAGAGATATCAGCTGATGACCAAATAACCTACCCCAAGAGAGGCAAAAATCTGTGTGTCCAGCACTTCTTCAGAAGGTTCAGGCTCTTGGCTGGGACAGGCCCAGTTGTCAGAACAAATGGATGGGAAACAATGACTGAAATGCAGCTGCTTTACACCATTGTCCTACTATTGTTAATGTCTGCATATAAGAACATAAAAAGGGGTTAATCTAATTAGCCAGTTTTACTCCTGGGACTGTCAGAAGTCAGCCAAATTAGGAATGCCCATTGCAAACCCTCTCCCAGGTTTACCAGCCTCCAGGGGCTGGTGGAAGAGAGGCAATATAATCCCAAGACAGCAGTGTTTGGTACAGCATGTACCATCACACCCTGCCACAGATAAGGCACATGGCACTCAGTCAAGCCATGCTACTAAAGGGATGACACTAGAAAAGCATGTTGGGTGTCCCCCTCAATGATGGCTGCTCCAGGCTCCCTCTTCCCTCTGCTAATGCAATCCCCCTTTTAGTTTTCATTGCTGAAAGCCAGTCAGACTGTGAAATAATTAACACTTGGAGCCCACAGTTTCTCTTGTCTCCAAGGAAACTCTGCTTTATGTTCAACATCAAAACCAGCAGAATTTTCAGTGAGAGAAGTCTCAGCAGGTAGCAACAAGGAAGCAACCCAAAGTGGGAGAAAGAGAACTCTCTGCAGAAGGAGAGGTGTTGGAAAGAGTTATGCACAGTTAGGCAGATATGGAACAGCAAGGCAAGGAGTCACTGAAAAATCTATGCCAGTCTTTCCAAGGTGGACTTCTGGTGCTGGGTCACCAAGGGAGAGGAGTTAAATAGCCCCTTCTAATATGGTGGGAGGGGAGGCTCAGTGCTTACAAGGAAGGGACATGTCACTGCTCAGCAGTCTGAAAGCTGATGTTAGCACCTCTCAAATTCTACTGGGAAGCTACAGTCCTCCCACTGTGGGGACTGTCTTTGCAAGGATGGCAAAGGAGGAGTAGATGTTTCCACTCCCACCTGACCTCTCCCCATCAGTAGCTCAGTGCCTGTGATCAGGAGCATTAAATCCAGCTATTGTGCTATTGCCTGGGGGTTTTTTTCAGTCTTGAGGATCAAGATTTCTACCTTCACAGGGTTCATAGACTGCGCCCCCCTTGGCTGGAGGCATCCTCACCCCTCATGCTATTAGATCTTTGCAGCCTGGCCCATTGCTTGCCCTTTGGAAGTACAAGCTGAAAGCAGTGCAGCCAAAGAGCTTATGTTGAAAATTTCCATTCCCAAGCCAAACTCAGCCATCTCTGCATTGCTATAGCAGCCCCCAGAAGGGCTTTCTGCTCAGTAGGGCATTGCTATTTCTTGATATCTGTCAGCCAGCTCCCCCCCAGACAACACCTACCACAACAATGGACCCAAGGAGGAGAACAGATTACTCAGGGCCACTGACCTATCTCTGTGAGACAGCACCGGCTAAAGAAAGAGGAATCTGCAATGGGCAGGAATTTCAACCCAGCTGAGCTCTACAAAAACTGAGCAGTGGGTTTGGGGCCTAAGTCCAGTACTGGAAAGACAAATGCCACTCTGTGCAATGCTACCTACTCATGCCAAGGTCCTGTAATAAGGTTGTCTCGTTCAAGCTTCCCACCATCTTTTAACCACAGCCCAAGACATAGAGTCCCATTTTTAGAGCACCCCCCACTGGGCAGCTCCCTGTCCTAAAGCAAATGAGAGCTATCCCTGCTGGTTCCTCATGCACATGCTCAAGGAAATCTCCTGCCCTGCTTCAGCCCCTGGTACTGGCACCACTCTTATTCATGCATTCAGATTCACTGATAAAACCACTCACCTGGAACTAGTGCAGGTTGTCAAGCACAGAGGGAAGCAAGTAGTTTTTGTCTTGAGGATTATTCTGCGTTGTTTCGTTCTCTAATTCTTTCAAAGGCAGGAAGCAGGATTTTTCTCCCTAGAAAGGTACAGTGTTAGCAGAGAGCTCTGAGCAATACCTCCTGAGAGAGGGAAGGAAGACTGTATATGCTCAGGATACATGGCAGAAAGGGGTGGGGGAGTGGCATGTAGGAGGAGACAGAAAAAAATCTTTGATGATTGCACCAGACCAGAGCACAGAAAGCACCTGTCACCAGGAGGCTGCACAGAGCCCTTACTGGATTTCACAGTACCGGTGGGTTTGCACTTTCTTCTGCCTCCTCACACAAGCTTCAAGGAGAGTTAGCAGGAACAGAGAGCAGGGCAGCTGTTAAATGAGAATCAAATCTCATTCCCATTCCACTTCTGTCCCTTAAAAGGGTTCCTTCCACAGGAGAGGTTGCATGCACAAGTCAATCCAACAGCAACAGCTGAGTACTGGACAGGCAGGTCCTTCCCTGGTCCAGTCTGTGTGCACAGGACCTCTGAGGTCCAGACAGCCCTGTGGTTTGTCTAGATCAGCCTTAGGGAATAGACATGTGTCTGTGTTTCAGCCAAACTTCTGCAGTTTCTCTTTGATGTGTTAGGCACATCATATGGAGGAATCAGTGAACTGACATGCAAAGGAAATACAGTAGCTGTCTGTCAGGGAGACAGACTCTGCTTCCAAGGAAGTAGGCAAAACTTCCACTGCTCGCTGATTTCTTTATTGATTCCTGATGCAGTTTTTTAAATAAAAGTCCCACATTTCAAAATTTTGATCAATGCACTACGTCAAAACCACAAGTCAGGTTACAGGTGTGAGCACCACACAGCCCATTGCTAGCCTCTGAATGTGGCAGAGTGAAAAATTATATTCAAAAATCAAGCCACAGCACCAAAGTTACAACAGCACCTCTGTTTCTGGCCCTACCAGATACATCACTCACAATGGACATAGCTGTCCAATGAAAGTAGCCTTCTCCTTAATTCAGGTGGCCCCAGTGTAGGGGTTTTGCTGTGTACTCTGGCTTTGGCATAGCAAGGCTGATATGTTGCATCTGCAGATGGAGCTTGCCACAGAGTTTGAACTCATCTAGCGAGGAGTAGGTCAAAGCCAAAGCGCCATGGTCATTTTACAGATGACCCTGGAAATTAAATCACCCCAAATCCTGTGTCCTCATCAGCTCTGTAAGAAGAGGACAACTGGATCTTGGCCAGGTTACAGAGACCAACTCCCAGCATCAACTGGCTTTTTCAGACATTTATCATAGAATTGTTTAGGTTTGAAAAGAACTTTAAAATCATTGAGTGCGACCATAAATCAGGATGGTGATTAGATGGGGCTTTGCTCGATGAGCCATTTGGAGTTATGACTGTTTCTGTCATTTCCCGTTGATTAAACTTGCTCCAGACACAAGCCATCACTGCATTAGGAGACAAGGACACACTTTCTGAACCAAATAAATTGCTAGGCCTCACATGGCATCCATGATTCCATGGCACTAATGACACCAATCTTCTTATTGAAGGTTCAACAGCATCTCAGGTCATGCAAGTGTCAACTGGGGACTGTAACTTCAAGTACTGTGCCCTCCAAAGTTTCAATCATCTTTCCAGAAAAACACATGTTGGAAGGGCCTACCCAAGAAAATATTTTTATTCCAAAATTAATGTTTCTGGTTTTGGGGAATAGTTGTGCTCTGCCTGTGCCACGCACCAAAGCCTTCCTGCAGAAATGTGGCTGAGAGCCAGTTCAGCTGCAGAGGTAAAGGGAGACAGATTGTGCTGGCCCCACCTGGTACACGGTTGAACTTCTTTTCTTCTTCTGCTGGTTCACGTTGGCCATTGCTGGGGCAGTCCCAGAGAAAGGACATCTCCTATTCCTCATGCCTCTGCTTCTCATGTAGTTTGGCCAGAAGCTGCTCTTGCAGAAGCTGCTCTTGCCCCTGACAGCACTGTTGGCACTGCTAGGGGCTGATGATCTGTAGCAGAGCACTCCTAACCCTGGACAAGTGCACTTCTGGTGCTACCCAGAGAGTGGCAGAGCAGCCACGCACTTGGCCACACCTCAAATGCTGTTCTATTCCCTGATTCCCCCTCAGGCAGCAGTGTTTGGCTAACAGTGAATGGTTGTCCTTTCCACCTCCGATGCCTGAAGTTCAGCTTGGCTTCTAGAATCTGCTAATTTCTACCCTGGATTTTAATCCCCTGGTTAGCACCCATAAAAGCCATAAATTTGCAGTGACAAGTGCCTTTAACCTTCTCCTTTGGCAAGTTTGTCCATATTTTGACTTGTACCTGTGGCAAATTCCAGGCAACTTTGAATTATTAAATAGGAAACAGAGCAGCAGCCTGAAGCTATGAAGGAGGTGAAGAGCTCTGCTCCCTCAGGATGGAGCTGCCTGATGCCCAGGCAGTTTTTCCAAGGTAAAGCAGTCCTTGGGGAACAAACCCCATGGTCAGCTAACTCCCTCAAGTCTTTTCTTGTTCTGTGAGTGCCAGGCATGCTTGATATCCACATCAGAGGCCACATTATGCTCTAAGTTTTCAGCAGTGGGTAAAAAGGAAACTCACAATGTCACCTTGTGAGAGGCAATGAGAGAAGATAACTGCACCTCATGTCATGGAGTCACCTTACAGAGGGTGTTCTGATGCTATCCTTGCACAGCTGCTTGGAGAGCTTGATGGAATTGAAGGAAGGGCTTGATGGAAAACAGTCTGGAATAGCTTTCCAAAATCAGCTCCTGGAAATTTTCTCCACAAAGCACCTTTCAAAATGATTTATGCTAATTCCACTTGTAGACTAAAAATGTTACATAGGGACAGAGCAGTTTTGCACCCTTTCTGTCTTTAGATACATCCTCAGTCTGTATTGATGCCTTTTTCTCTAATCCTAGAAATATGAGCCAAACACAGTTAGGGTGATAAAAAGTGACCTTTATATAAGGATCTTTAGGTGCACAGTCCATTACGTGGAAAATGCTGAAGACGATTGCTCTGCATCATCTGTGTACAATTTTTATAGATTCTGCAAATTAACATATCTGACAATTAGACATATCTTCCCAATTAGAAGCACACTCCATGAAGAAATGCCCCCTAGCTCTAGCACCTTCTAAATCCTCCTCCCTCAGATAAGGACCAGGCCCTCTTTATAAAAATATATCTTCAAGAGCTGGTTTCAACCTTGGTTTCTAAGGAGAACCAAGATAGCATGGAATTTGTTTTGTCTTTCTGCCTAGGAAAATACTGAAGCTCAGTTACAATAATAGACTACAAAGCTACAAATACAATGTGAAAAGAATACAGAAATGTCACTAAAGGACACGAAATTATTCACACGACCGCTCTCAGTGTCAGAACAAAAACCCGTGACTTTATTCTCTGACTCCAGTATTTATAGATTCTCGACAATGACCAGGGATTGGATAATTAAGCTACCACCTTCCCAAGCACACTGGTCATGTGAAATGTCTATCAAAAGACATTTCTTAAAAGGAATGTGATAAACAACTTATATTTACAGGACTTTCATGGGAAAGTAACTAAAACTATGAAAACATTATCAGAAGACTTAATTTCCAGGACGACACAGAAATATATATAAAAGAAAAAAAAGGTATAAATCCAGATGGCATCAGTATCTCAGCCCAAATTGGAAAGACCCAGGTCCTAAACAAGTGAAGTTCTGGGCAAATGCCTCTTGAGACAAATATTTACAAAGGGCTTGTGTGTCTTCTTTATCATCTCTGCTTTTTAAGAAAGACTGATTGGTTCTTTAAAAAGCAAAACACCTAAAAATGGGCTAAGAGTTGACTCATAATGTAAGAAGGTAAATCTCTCATGTGAGCCTCTGTTAGAATGCAGTTAAAGTGTCCAGTTTGGACACACAACCTGGAGGAGGCATTGAGGCTGTGGGGCTGGGATACAAAACCCAAGTATAGAGTTGTATTGACTATCCCATGGCTTTCCTGGCTTCCAGTAAGTACTTTGCATATCAGTCTTTTGAAAGTGCTTGATTTCTTTGAACCGCTGGTACAAAGCCCTTCAGGACCAAGTTGTACTGAATGACAGGTGTGACAGCCCTGTCAACAGAACAAGTGGTAACTGGGAGGGTGGATATGGACCATCCATACCTAGGATATGGATACTTTCTGCTGGAATGTAAAAAGACACTGGGATATTCCCTGCTGCTAATTATCGTGGGGAAAGATGTGATTTCTTTGTGTGTTAAGCAATCCTTCAGCCCTCCCTTCCCTGGATTTTGCAATTCTATAGTCTTGTTCTCCTTGTTACAGTAACCTTAATTTGGGGTTTGGTATTAATTCTGTCTCCTACATTGCTCACTGGCCCTGGGAATGGAGTCCAATTATGCAGCTGTGACCTTCATTACAAGTTAGCAGACTTTCTGCAAATGAACTTCCTTCATGTTTCACAGAGCGACTGAAATAATGGAATTTCCTTCCTATGGGAAATGCCAATCTCTCAACATCTATTTTTGCCCTATTTTTAAACAAAAAGCCAAAATTTCAACTCTTACCACACATGAAGCTCAGGAAAATTCAGAAATGTAAATAAATGTTTTGATTTGAATCAGACTGATGTAATTCTACTCCTACCTGAGTCATAGCTTTTCTTCATGTGAGTGCCTCTCATTTTTTCTTTACCTCATTTTTTATAGACTACAGGTCTCATGGTGCTCTGCAGTGTCCCTGTAGCCAAGCTGCTATATTGCATTTTCCTGTATGCAGCCCAGAGCAAGGGCCAAGGAGAACAGGGTCCAGAGAGCTAAAAGAGAATATGATGCTGTTCTCATTGACAGCACCTGCCAGGATATTTGGTTAGAATTTCTGATGGGACAACAAAACAAAGACAGGGAAGTTAAAAATTGACTAAAAAATCCAGTGACAAAAATTATTACCTCCAAATTTTGTCTGGGTAGTTTCAACAGATGAGTGAGACAAAGTTATGTGAATTTCTTAAGTTTCTGTCATTCTAAAGTGTCCTCATTTTCTCCTTGGCTCTGCTGAGAATGTGTGTGACTGAGGCATTTTAGCTATTTTGAATCCCAGCTTATGCTCCCTGCTTCTTCCAGGTGCACTGGGAACTTGTGCTGCACACTGCTAGGAGGAGTTCTGCACTGGGAGTATGTGTGATTTATTATGTACATTTTTTATTTTTAGCAATCCCTGTAAGTCACTATACAGGCACAGCCAGTGCGAACTGCAGATTCTTACAGTGGTTCCTGTGATGCCTGACTTTTCAAAAACACCGTTTTCCTCAAACAGTCTGAGAAACTGCACTGCCACTGCCACTGGAAAATAAATCCCCTGCTCCCATCCTGAGAAGTTCCCTGGTGGAAACTCACTTGATCCCCACAGCATGAAAAGCTGTCAAGGAGTCATTTGATTTATTTCCCTGCCCTAATCCACCTCTGGCTCTTCCTCCCAGCCCCATGCTTGTCTGCTGCACTACAAACTAGCAGTAGTTTTCCCTGACCTACTTGAGACTTGATTCAAATTTCATCACAAACAAGTTCTTTCTATAACCCTTTTTATTTTCACTTGCCTTACTATATTTGTACATTTATTCTATTTTGTGTTTTACCCATTACTTAGGAATGCAGCTTTCTTCTTCAGCTGTTTATGCTGCACAGAGACAATTCCAATGCCAATGTGGTACCGTCTTTTAATTTCTTTTCTTCCTTTCCATGAGCAGGCTGCGTCTTCCTTCCTTCCCATCTCTGCTCTGCCTCTTGCAGCCTGTGGTTCACTGTGCTTTACACTGCACAATTGGCCTAGCACTCAGCAGTGCCTAGCACAGTGGGACAGTCACTGTCCTGGTCCTGCTGGCCATACTATTGCTGGTACAGGCCAGGTGCCACTGGCCTTCTTGGCCACGTGGGCACACCTGAGGTCATGTTCAGCTGCTATTGAGTAGCACTCCCAGGCCCTTCACTGCTGGCAACTTTCCAGCCACTCTGCCCCAAACCTGGATTGTTCTGTGGGATTCTTGTGACCCAAGGACAGGGCCCAACCCTTTCCCTTGTTTGCCTTGGCCCATTGATCCAGCCTGTCAAATCGCCCCTGCAGAGCATTCCTGCCCTCCAGCAAATCAACATCCCACCCAGTTTGGTGTCATCTGTGAAATGACTGAGGGTGTCCTTGATCCCCTTCTCCAGATCATTGATGAAAACGTTAAACAGGATTGAGTCCAAAGCTAAGCCTGGGGAAACACCACTGGTCCCAGCTGGATGTGACTCCATTCACCACTATTCTTTTGGTTCAGATGTCCAGACAGCTTTTACCCAATCAAAGAGCACACCCGTCCAAGCCATGAGCAGACAGTTTCTACAGAATACAGTGGGAAACAGTGTCAAAACCTTTACTAAGGCTGAGATATACAACATGCACACCTTTTCCCTCATCCACTAAGCAGGTCACCTTGTCATAGAATGAGGTCAATTCAAGCAGGACCTGCCTTTCATAAACCCACACTGGCTGGGCCTGATCCCCTGGTTGTCCTACACATGCTATGTGACAGCTTAAGATGATCTGCTTCATGACCTTCTCCAGCACTGACTGGCCTGTAGTTCCTTGGATCCTACTTCCAATCCTTCTTACATGTATGCCTTACATTTGCTGACTTCCTGT